GTTATGTTTGTTTGTTTGTTTGTTTTTTTCCTTCTGAAGCAAGGGATTTGGGGAGGATAGGAAAAAAAATCCTGATACTCATGGCAAAAGAGAGAGCTGGCGATCCTGTGAGCCCCAACCGGTATCCGTAGTGTAACACCATCCACACCCAGGCACTGGCGAGGAATGAATGGCAGAGCAAATTCCAGTCTCGGTTGCAGTGTTAAAAAAACACCCAAACAGGCCGTGCTTAGGCTTTACAGCAGGGTAAGCATTCAGATCCCGTCAAACCGTAAATCAGTCCTCGATTGCTTCCCACCAGTGGCCCAGCCCCGTCCCCGTCCTGCCCACGGGCGTTCGTCCCCACACTGCTCGGCCTCCTCCTGCCACAGCATCCTTTAAACCCAAACCGTTTCCATGGCAATGAGGAAAACAGTTTTAATTGCAGTTCACGTCGGATAGGGGAAAAAAATATTTAGAACTAAGCGATGCTGTACTTTTTAGGGCAGGCTGCCTGTCTCCCTGCCCGCAGGCTGTGGTGGAGGGATGGCTTGGGAAAAACCTGGCCTGTTCCCGGTGCTATCCTACATCAGCTCAATAATCACATTTTAAAATATTTTTTTTAGAAATTAAAGTTACTCTTTTAAGGCGTTTTAAAGGACTTTAAATTAAGATGCTGCTATTTAAGGCAAACCCAAGGGAGAAGGGGGGGGGAAGAAGAGGGAGGTGGTGTGGGTGCAGACCACTTCTCCTTTCCCTCTCCCCCCTCCATGTCTCGTGGTCTGTGGGGACACGCTGCCCAGCACGGCGAGCCAAGGACACCCCCAGTGCTCCTCCGGGCACGGGCATCCCTCCATCCCAAAGCGCAGGCAAGCCCCCAAGAGCTGCCATTCCCAGGGGAGCTCTCGCTGGGCTGCGGGCATTTTTTGGTATTGGGAAAGATCCCAGAGAAGCCCAAGCCTGGTTGGGAAAAGGGAACATGACTTGGGGATGCTTCTCCTCGATGCTACTGACCTCTCCTCAGGGATGGGGGAAGCAGGATCAGCCCGAGTGCGTGGACTAGGATTTTTTTTTTTTCCTGCACACACACCTGGATGGTCCTTGCGAGAAGCAAGGAGGGGTTTCGCATACCTTCCCATGGGTGCAGAGGTGCACGATGGAAAGGCTTTTGTCACATCCTCTAATTCCAACTAGCACCTTAACTAACTCCGCCACTGCCAGCCAGGTTTTGCATCCTGGCTTTCGGCTGTTACGAACAGCACATGGTGCGTGGCTTTGGGCTGCGCCGGCTAGTCATAGCCCCGGCAAACAGCATGAAAAACACCCGCTCCTTTGGTTACCGCTTGCTCCCAGGCAGGTTTGGGAAGGCGGGGACACTCATCCTTCCACGTCACATCCTAAGACCCTCTGGCTGCTCTGCAAAACCGCGGGGAGATGTCACGGGGCAGGTCCATGGCCCAGTGGCTTCTTTACCCCGACTGAGCCAGTGTGGAGCTTGTTGGAAGCCTGTCCAGGGATCTGCCCTGTGGTTAACCCCCTCTGCTTTCAGTGACGGCCAGAAGGTCCCGCTCAGCTGTTTTTAGAGGGAGGAGAGGATGCGGGGTGCGGGTATTTCTCTGCACACCCCTGCCTTGGATCTGATTCGGGGTCGGTGGCATTCAGGTCTCTTAGGTCCTCCCCCAAAAAAATCAACTGGGTGGTTTGCCAGGCATTGTGATGCCCTCGGTGCCACCAACTTGGGTTTCTGTCCTCACCATCGTCTCCAGGGTGGTCCTAGCTGCATCCTGGGGGGGGGGCTGTCCCTAAACACCCAGCCCCTCTCTTCCCCCTGCCACCAGCCCTGGCAGCGGGGGACAGCCTGAGTCCCCTCCCTGTCCAGGGCAGAGCCAGTGGCACGCCGCGCCGCTCTAGTTCTGCATCCGCGTCAGTCGCTGGCATCGTGGTGTTTTGCTTTGGTGGCTGCAGCAGCAGCGGGGTCCGTCTCTGGGCTGTAGCTGGCGGCAGCGCCCTGATCCCATCAGCACCCCCAGCACACTGGCGCACAGCATGTGGTCCTCCATAGCATGGGATGGGGGCGGGGGGTGGGTGAGATCTGGCGATGCCTTTCTCCTGTGTGTGAGGATATCATCTCTGGAGGCTTTGTTTTGGGAGTGGTGTGCCCTCAGGTGGAGGAGATGGTGTTTTGGGAGATGGGGGCTTGCAAATGAGCCGTAGGGTCTTCTGAAAGCCAAAAGCTTGCCTCTACCTTCTCTCCAAAGAGAGTTTTAACTCTGCGACTGAGGATTCCACCTCTTTCTGGCCACCAGAAGTAGCACGATCATCCTTACAGCTCCCAGAGCTCGGCTCAGGTTTGCCCACGTGAGCGTGGCAGGGGGACCTCGCTCTCCCGGCCTGGGCTGTGGGGTGGCAAGGGGAAGGCAGAGAAGCCATGTGGGGCGGGAAAACAACCCCTGCCGAGATGTTTCACCGTCAGCACGGGCTGATTTCCCCGGTGGGACCACGCTGGAGTGGTGCTAACGTAATAACGCAGCTCTGCTTGCGGGGAAGGAGTGAGAGAACCAGATGCCTCTTTGGAGATGCAACGGGATGAACGTTCGCCGCGGCTGTGGCAGGGAAGAGCACGCTCAGCCCCAGGCGTCAACACTGCTGCTCTCCGGTGGGATCTTGATCCCTTCTGACAAGGCATCGGAAGCAGCAGCCTGGGACCAACGAGTCTGGTTTATCCCTGTCGCAACAAACGGATCCCGTTGGTATCCCTCTACGGTAGCTGGCGGTGCACCGGTAATGGGAAGGTCCTCCATGCCGCCTGTCTCGGTGCTCTGCACGTGAGGAGAAACGACGGACGGCGTCTCGCAGTCTATTCTCTGAACACCACCAGACCCAGCAGCTCAGGACCTGCACAGATGGCAGGGGTGGAGTCGGGCAGTGGTTGGCAGCGCACGGCTATGGATGGCCAAGGGTCTATGAGATAGCGGAAGAAATTAAAGCCTGGGCTACAGTTGAGAGTTTGGCGTTGGTTTCGGTTGGCCGTTCATAAAACTGTCATGGTCAAGTAGTGCTTTGTGGAAGCAAAGGGCAGAAACTCTTCTCTTGAAGAACACCCAGACTTGGTTTCCCTTGGCCAAGAGGTCAGCAGCCCTCCTGGTCACTTCTACACTTCTAGCTGTGGCTGAGAGCGTTTTCTTTTCGCTCCAGGCCCCTTCTGCTCGCTTCCCGCGGGCTCTGGGGGTGCCCCCGATGCCGCCCTGCTGCTGCCGAGGACATGATCCCGTCCAGGGCAGGGTGGCTTTCCTGAAGACAGGGGAACGTGAAAATAAAAGGGACAAGAGACTTAGGGGATCTTAA